CAGCCCAGATCGGACATTGCCAGCCAGAGCATGGCTCAGAGGCGAGGTCTTCTGAAGGCTCTGAAGCCAGGGAGGCTTGTCCCCCATGCACGAGGGAGCCTGAATTGTTGTTATCACAGTTTAAGCCAAGGTGGGTTGAGAATGAGAGTCATAGCACCTGTCTAGCCAACAGAAAGCCAGTAAATGGTTGTGGACAGATGTTTATGTGCTTTATGCCTGCGTGGAGCAGCGGGGTGCATCCTCTGCTTCCCCTCAGCACAAGGTTAACTGCATACTTGACAGCCAGGGAGCTGGCTTCTTATCTCTGGGTGCTGTAGCACAGAGGTATGAGGTCTGCCAAGCAGGCCGGGGAGGGTGAGGGAGACAATGCCAATCTCCCTTCTCCCCTGACATGGTCCCGTGGGTCCTCACTGAGGGATTTGGTGTCCCGTATCCACGGGAGCGGAGCGGGAAACACAAGCAGGGAAGGAGGGTGGGTGACAGAGAGAGGGGTCGATGGAGAAGTTTAGATCGGTGCTTCTTGATTGCTCTCTGTGGCTGTTCAGACCCGGTGAACTTGCGAATGGTCCAAGACTGGAATTAAGACTTCATTATAGGAGGTCATTAACTCTGGCCCAGTTCCTCTGGAGGATCAGGTTGGCAGGTTTACTTCAGGACACAACCCTTTCATGAGAAGCTGTCAGTCACGACGCTTCTGGACCTGCTCCAGACATTTTCCTCTTCCACTTACAAGTGTGTGTTTCAGTCTTCAGTGAGTCTGGCAGCATTTCTATAACTTGTGATTGTACAAATGATTTATACAATGTTATTGAAAATGCCCCGGTAGTAAAGCTTCAATAACATCACAGCCAGTGAAAACGGGCTCGTATGACCTGTGGTCATAAGTCACAGCGCTCCATGCTCGCCATCTCCCCCCCTTACTCTCACTGTCTGAGGAATTCCTGGAGCTGAGACCTGGGCCCGAGGGATGGCTGATACACACACGAGTCTGCTCCCGTTAGAGCCACGAGTGCTGCGCGCCGCACCCTTATCCTTCCACAGCGTGCGGTCTTGTCGACAGCAGCTTTCAGTAATGAGCTGTAGAGCTGCCTGCCTCCTGCCTGCATCCATAACCTTCTCCCTGACTTGGTGGCACAGGTGGGGACACGCTGAAGACACTCTTTATTTCACACAAGCCCACCCAGGTGTCCTGCCTGCTGATACTCACTAGCAACTTTTCCACTGTGTGGTCAGGCGGGGCGTGTCAGGGCCAGCCCCAGGTTGTTTGTAACACCGGATGAAAAGAACAGTTTATTCCATCCAAGGACCTCAGTTCAAAAAAGTCATGCGGCATGTCGGTATGCGCTCTCAGTGGTAACGAAGCTATAAGATCAAATGTGTATGCACCATGAACAAATCTAGAAGTGGGACTAACTAAAGCATCTACTGATCCATTTTTAATGCTCTACTCAGTGAATGGTTTTACATGTATTTCACTGTTCCAAACTGGTCTTGTTACCGTAGACCAGGTTGACTGTTGACACACACTTGGATGGTGATGTTATGATCTCCACCAGCACAGAGAATTTACTAGTTCTCTGCACTTTTAAATGAATGAGAAATCTTGAAGTTTTCAGAAAACTGGACATGTAATATAATTCCATGGCACCTGGCACATGACAAGGGTCATGTGATATGACTGAAAGCTCCAACACAAGCTACTAAAGTGACCTTTAGGTGAGAGAGTTTTGTCAAGAGAAGATTACAGAGTTTGCATAATAGATGTAGTGGTATTTTCTGTCTTGTTTTTCTTTTTTTGCTTTGCTTTTTACATTGGACAGGTGGGAGAGATGAGATTGAGATGGGGAAAGGTCTAAACTACCACCCATCACAAATTCCGCCAGTCAATCTGGGGACAGTGAGATTCACGGGCAGTGCCTTGGATTAGTAAAATGATTACATTTAGCAGTGTGCTGCTGCTGTGTCAGCACAACCCCACAGTCAGAAAATCGATCAGAGCTGTAAGTTTCTCTTCTATTTGAATTTAGTAGTGTGCCGTTAATGCTGTCACAGGTTTAGTCGTGGTCAAGCTGTGAATTAGAGCCAAAACAATTAGTTACTGATTAGTTAACTAACAGAAAAACAGCAGATATTAATCATTTGTCATATTTTAAGGGTTAAAAAGAAGAAGAAGAACTATGCCATGCTTCCACTTGGCTGCTTTTCTTTGTTCTGTGATAGTAAAGTGAATGTTTTGGTTTGGGAATGTTGGAAAAAGGCAGGCTATGACATTTACTAAATAATTGGCAGATATATTGATATGAGTTTTAAAATGTGCCCTACTATGAATGCCAGTCAGCTAATAGCATCATGTTTTAATGTGACACTAACCAATGTGTCCAAATGCTGAAACGAATCAACCCTGTGCATCCGGTCAGCACCACTACACAGGAGAGGTTTTAACTGCACATGGGTTTGGTATCCTCAGGGGAACTACATGTGTCTTCCATGACAGAGCATCTCCTCATTAACAACACTTAGATTAAGATCAGTCCTATTTTCAGGCTTCACTCCCTGTCTATCACCACGTCCTGTGCGCTCACAGCTTAGTGCTGTACGAGCCCCCTTTCCCAACACTCACAGCCGTCAAGGCAAGTAAGAACGCACACCACTGAATGAGGTGAGGTTGGCTGCTTGTAGCCCCGGGGGGCCTTTACAGCAGTCACAAGCAAAAGCTGCTGTTCAGCTGATTCTTTTATGTTGTTCACTTCAGATACATTTCAGTAGTTACTCACTGTGCATGTGATACTTTACCCACAGGCTTTGGTATTGAGAAGGCTGATATCTGATGTATTGCTTTCTTTAGGGTTGGGTGTGTGTGTGTGTGTGTGTGTGAAGTGCCCAGCTGACATGCTACAGAGTGGAGAGCTGGTCTGAACAGGTCCCTGTGTGAATGTAAAACTGTGGTTTACAGGAGGAAGAGGCGTGAGGTGCCTTAAAGAAGGGGCCCGTCTTTGGTGGCCACCTGTTGACATTGACACACACTAATCAGTTGGCAAACAAAGTAATTTAGCTGCTTTGAAAGGCGTTACTTTGCATGAGCACATTGTTCCAAATCTCCTGAAATAGAAACCTTTCAAGTTACCTCTGGGTAATTTGGAAGACATCATTAGGCTTAGGGAGAAAAACCACTGCCAGGGGGAGCCCATCGCCACCTTTAGACACCCAGAATCTCTTCATTGTGCCGCTGTAGAAAGTGGCCAGTGTCATGTAAATGGCTTTTATTTTTGCTTCATCATGCTTTTTGCTGGAAAGCCACACGCTACAATGCTGAGCTGCAGCACGGCTGTCTCCCAGTGCCTCACTGGGGTCTTTGTGCTGTCACTCTCAGGCTACTCACATTGGAGGGGGGGGGCACCAACAGCGAACTCAATGAACCCCTGGGGAGCCTGAGCCGTGTCCGCCACCCTCCTGTCTTTTCTACTTGCATCCTTCCTCCTTTCCTTCATCTTCCTCTTTGGTTCTCCGCCCTCTCTCTTTTTTGGCCCTGCCACTTACAAAGCTAGACCCGAGGCCAACTGGGCCTGATCCCAGAACTGGCCTGTCACAGCTGGCCTATCAGGAGCCACCACAGAGGTCACCTGACATAGTGATTGAGGGCGAACAGAGAAAACAAGAGGAAAACAGGCTTTCAAAGAGAGAACTGTGCTTTTTGTTGTTCGGGCTTTCTGTGTGAGCATGTATGTGTTTACACTGTGAAGAAGACAAATGGTCTCTAGAACTTTCTCCTGAAATAACGTAACTGTATTTGACATTAAAGACAAATCATTAGCACAGCTTCCACTAACTGGAGATCTTCCATAGCTTTCAGCCACATACAGCGTCACTGCCTTTGGTAGCCAGAAGCGTCTGCTCAGTGGTCGTGGACATGGTCTAGTTATTACATGATCTAAGTATGGAGTTTTGGACATGTGGTGGGCAGGAATGATCTCTGGCATCTCTGTCATGTGGCTACATCTAGACTATCTCTGTAACAACTAAGAAAACTTCATCCACTGATGAAGGCCAAGCAATATGGCAGAAAGCTGCAGACAAATGTTTCAGTAGACCGTGTGCTAAGAATTCTTTTTCAGACTGTTTCCAAGCTCAGTAACAAACCTTCCAGCTCAAGTTAGAAATGAAATGACTGTTATGTTTGAATTATTTAAATGATCAGTGAGTTACATTCTTCTACACCTACATTGGTTGCAGATTGATAACAAACCTTTTCTGTGTTACTCTGCTGTCTCCAACAGATGAGCAAACTTCCTCCAAGTCCAGTCTGTATTTTCTCATCTCCAATGAAGGCAACCAAAACTTGCATGTATCCCAGGCGAACCTGTGGCTCTACTTCCGTGTGTTACCGGCCGCTCCTGACAAGGGCCTCCGGAGGAAAGTGACTGTCAAGATCCACTACCGGGAGGCTGGAGCTACGAGCAGCGCAGAGGGAGGCCTAGTAGACAGTGATGGAGGAGGACCAGGCCGCTGGGCCCTGGTGGAGAAGCGGGTGGACCTGAAACGCAGTGGCTGGCATACTTTTCCCTTCTCTGAAGCGGTGCGGGCTGCATTTGGGAGAGGCAGCCGGCGGCAGGACCTGGAGGTCCACTGTGAGGGCTGTGAGACGGCTGGTGTGGCACCAGTGCTTGTGGACCCAGGTGACCCATCCCATCGACCCTTCCTTGTGGTGCATGCACGACAGGTGGATGGAAAGCACCGCATTCGTAAGCGAGGGCTGGAGTGTGATGGCACTAGCGGGGGCCTTTGCTGTCGGCAACAGTTCTACATAGACTTCCGTCTTATTGGCTGGAATGACTGGATCATTGCGCCGGCTGGCTATTACGGTAACTACTGCGAGGGCAGCTGTCCGGCCTACATGGCAGGGGTACCGGGCTCAGCTTCATCATTCCACACAGCTGTAGTTAACCAGTACCGCTTGAGAGGGATGAGCCCGGGCTCAGTCAACTCCTGCTGCATCCCCACCAAACTCAGCACTATGTCCATGCTCTACTTTGACGACGAGTACAACATTGTCAAGAGGGATGTGCCCAACATGATTGTGGAGGAGTGTGGCTGTGCTTGAGTCCACACAGACCCTTCATTATCTGAACTTCAAACAGTCAGAAAGGCCTTTTGTACAAACAGGACGTTTTTGTACGGTACACATATACAATATATCTATACCTACTGTATGTGCAGGCAACACATGCACACACATACACACACACACACACACACACACAGGTACAATCTAACAAATGCAAGAATCAGTGTTGTGTCCATGTTTGCAGCATGTGTTTGCACATGTTCATGCAAGTGTGTGTATTTATCAGACTGAATGACATGCTTGCTGTCCGAGCGCTGTCCGTTGAGTGACAGCTGGTCAGCGATGGGACAAGAAGGGAATGATTATCACCAAATGATACTTTGCTCTAGTTTGCCATTTCTAGTCAAAAAATAATGGCCCATCCTCCTCTTGAATGAAGATCAAAAGCGCTTAAGGAAGGTGACAGGATCAGCCAGTGACATTATTGGCTTCACAGCCCTCTTCCAACCCTCTTAAGTATTTTAAGCACATGACAGACTTTTGTTTTTATAAAGCACTGACAATTCATCAGCTTATACAATTCAGAACACCAGCACTTCCCTACTATGCCGACACATACAGTCTGACTGTCTTCTCTGGTGGAATTAGACTGGCAGCGCTAAATAGGTTGCAGGATTATACCCTCGGCAGCAGTGCAGCGGCAAAAGAAAGTCCCCTGCAGAGCTGCTGCTGTGTTGTTGTCAGTCTTGCTGTTGACTAAGGGCCTCAGCCTCATGCCTGTCAAGAGTGCTGCAGGCCATGTTACCATGGCAACTAGGTGAAGACAGATCCCGTAGGTGTACTTCACCTGTACACTGGGAGCGACAGAGAGAGAACTGCTTCCTGTAGCCCACCTGAGGCTCAGGAGAAGTGGGCCTCTAGTTTCAGCCCACTGGGTCGCCACAGTGCAGCACTTGCAGAAACTGAAATGCACACCCTGAATAGCACTTGTATAAAGAAAATGCCTTCAAAGGGGTATGGAGTGTCCTATCCTATTGGTAAATAAGTGCCACATGAGCTATGCAATGTATAGTAATCTATAACCATACTCAACATGCTCTATTAGACTGAACTCTTTCCACCTCTCTCTCTCTCTCTCTCCCTCTCTCTCCCTCTCCCTCTCTCCCTCTCTTCAGTCTTTGACTCTTTATCAATACTTGAAATGTAATCTTTCGCTTCCTTTCCAAAGCGAATGATTGTTGTGATGTTTGCACTGAAAAGTTGCGGGATTAGAGAAACAAAAACTGCCATTGAAAAGTTATTTTTTTAGAAGTAAATTGAATTTTGTTTCAAATGTATTTTACCCAAAGAGGCCAAGATTTGAGCTATTGTACTGAGATGGCAAGGCCATTGAGTAACTGTGTACAATACTGTTTTTGATAACTTGCAAAAGGCCTACCACTGTATCAGGGTACGATATATGATTTTCATTTCTTAGCTCTATTTTCATTCTGTTTTGTACAATAAGCAACACTTCATTTTTCATTTTTAATTCTATTTTTGTTTGTTTTCTATTTAATAAGAAAGTTATTTTAGTTACTGTCTAAGAATCATTTAGTCAAATAAATGTCATCTGTACAGTTTATGTAAAATAAAATGTTTTCTTAAATATTTTGTAACTTTAAAGTCTTATCTGTGTCTTGTGTTGAGTCTGTGTTTTGGGCTGATACTGTGCCGCTCTAAATACCAAAGGTGGGGCTGAAATAGCTACATGAAAAACACACACGCTTCAGTCTTCGTCTGTACTGGCTGAAACAAAACACCTCACTCTCTTTGCTGTCTGTTTAGACTGAGTGCCTCTCATAAGCTCCAGCTGTATTTCAGTAATTACAGCTATAATTAACAGCTTCAGTGGCATCCAGCAGCGCTGCCAGCATACAGAGCTTCACATAACTTGTTGATTCTTTTTTGGCTGTAGTGCTTATTGATGTGCGTGTACGTGTATAACTATGTCTGGTGCATGCTAGGAAGCAGATAGCATCTCTGTGGAGCACGGGTGCAGCCACTCACAGCCTGTTACATCAGAGCGGTTTCCCCCTGCAACATTTCTCATCATGTTTCTGTTTCTCAAGGTAGGTTTACAGTTGTCAGAATGTCAAGAGCAGTGTGTCAACACTGCAACAGCACAAGGCTTGCCTGACCGATTGTCTGCCTACGCCAACACCTACCAATGGCTTGATTTCATGTGATGTTTCTGCAAGACTCCATCAAAACACATCACGGCCCCCTTAAATTTCAGCCATATACAGTAAATGCTCGAAGTGTACGTATCTCTTTATTATCTGCCAAGGTGTGCAATGAGATTTGTTTGCCTGCAGGCGAAATAGCTTACAAGGGAGGGATCTGTATAGAAAACTTTTCTTTACCTGTAGCTGGATGGATGAGTCAGCAGGATCGGCAGTGAAACATCTCTCTATGAAAGAAAGTGGAAAAAAGAAATCACTGTTGCTGTATGTGTGACTGACAAGCAGGCAGACAAGAAGAGAAATGATCTATCACAAATGATCTGAAATGACTGAGGTGGTTTTAATCTCCGCGGTGGAGCCTGTACCTCTCAGCCAAATGTCTGTGCTGACAGTAGAGGCAGAGATGTGTAGCCGTCTTGTCATGCTTTCCAAAGCATGCCAAGTCTCAACAGCTGGAATGTTAATGACGCTGCGCAAGAGCTGTAGGCTAATAAGCATGCTGCTGTTCATGACTGCAGTCAGGGCCACACACTTGCTCATACAAAATCAAAACATAGGTGTGTGCATTTACACGTACAAACACACGCTCTTTAAGAATCATCTGAGCATAGGTACAAATCCATTGCTTCGTGTGCTCTCATGCAGACTTACACATAATCATACTCTCTCATATGTGCCCTTCCCAAAGTCACGCTCACACATATTCACTATAAACAAGACACTGAACACACACGCGTATGCACTCACACACACACAACCTCTACAACCCTAGTTATCATCTTAAACAAATATTGTCCTTGTGCCCTCCCTCATCTAATACTGCCACAGGTTGAGGTCATGACAGCTGCCAAGTTGACAGGGTCATCCAGTTTATCACAGCAATAGCATTCATTCTTCCAAATCAGCCACAATCACTAATGAATTTATGACTATTCATTGCCCGGGGCCAGGCATTCCTCTGCTTCACACTGCTCGGATTTAGCTCTGCAAACCTGGGGCAATGTACCACACATGCTGATGATGGATCTTATGATTACTCACATATCTTCCACTGATGCAATTCATGAGTTTTTTTTCATTTCCCCAATAGTAGAGACCTCTTCAGTGTTTTTCTTCATCCCACTCCTTTGCTAGTAACTGAGTTCCCTGAGCTAACACAACAGAATTGCTGTTACCATTGATTAAAGCCTGACCCTTTGTTTCAGCTTCATGTAAAGGCACTCTTATTCTAAGGATTTATGGTGTGGGTACCCTAAGACAGGAGGCTTATTTCACTCCTGTTTACTTCTCCCAACAACACCAAGTGACATTTTGACCTTTGGAGCAATGTGGACTGTGGTCCCTGCAAGCTCTCTCTCACAGGCGGATTACTGGAGTATAAAGGCTTTGCAACTTGAAAGCATATTTAGGAGCACGAATGAGCAAAAGTCCCAAAACTCATTAATCCTACCATTCTTAACGGCTACATTCTGTATCGCTACATTGTTCTGTCTTGCTACAAGACAGCAGGAACACACAAAATAAGATCCTGCAAATCAGCTCACCAAAATGATAGTGAGCTAGCTTTGTTGTTGACTTCTCAACATGGAAATAATTCTTGTCAGTATCTGCAATTTCATGCTGACTGACACTAATATCAACACAGACATTTGGTTTTACAGATGTCCAGTGTTTAGAAGACTCCATTAACACTGCCTCTAAGTGTTATGACCGGATCAATAATTCTATTTTATTTAACCTTCTCCCCCCCTGAGTGCTGTAGTGAAGGAGGTGATGGGGGCAAGATGGCATAGTGCATGGAGTGTGTATGTGTATTTTCCCGAGTCCTTAATGTTATAATGTTAGGGTTGTTCCACCCCAGTTTAGCAAAACAACTGGAGCCTTGTCAACTCAGCCTCCCTCTCAGCCCTCCCCTCCCCCAGACTATGTCTTCTCTTCAGCCCCTGAACCTTCTCACCTCCTTACCCCACCTTCTACCATGCTGACCCCCTGACTCCCACAGTACTGAAGGCACACTCAGGGGCCACAAAGCCATCATTTGTGTTGTCTATGGTGAGTAGTGCTGGAGCACCACCACCTTTCACCAGAAGTGTTGGCTGTCTGAGAGCCATCCTCTGAAAATGGACAGAGGTAGTGAAGATGGTGGGCTAGTTGGACAACAATGATGCAGTCTCACTTATAGTGTTTGGGTTTTTTGTTTTTTGTTTTTTTGCTCTTAACTATAATGTAAGTATAGCTTTTTAGTATTTGTAAGAAATCAGTGCTTGTTAACAAAAGTCACTGTCCTGCCACAAGGTTAGAGGCAAATCCTTTAGCTGGAACTGGACTAAAGATTTGGAAAAGGCCTGAGAATTCTTTGAGAATATGGTCGGCGTGATCAGACAGAAGGAACACAAACACTGGTACCGGCATGAACAACCAATAAAAAGCTGTTGAAACATACCTGCAATATGAGTTCATGTGCCTTGATGATGTACTACAAGATCAGAAATGGCTGGGAGTCTGCTTCGATCAACTCAAGACATATGGATACAGAGACCTATTGGACAAAAACTATACCCAGAACCATCCATGTAGCCTCAAAGTAATTTGGACCTGACCCAAGTCAGGATACCAAATCTTGGATGCCATTAAACATTCCATATACAGTGATGGGCTTAGAAAATAGGTCTGATTGGCTCAGTCATTTACAACTCTCAGTGAGCACATCAGTCATGTATCAGTTGCTGACAAAATCTGGTGTAACAGCATTAATCTCTTCTGCCCAAATGAACTGAACTGAACAGTCCAAGGAACTGCTCTAAATATGCTATATGCTATATGCTTGGTGTGAACAGCACACATTGTGGTTGTATACCGCAGCCCCCCTCCCCCCAATATCCTCTTGCTGTTGTTTGTCCCCAGGGACCTGTTGGCAAGCTAAATTTAGCTAACTGAAGGCATTGTGGACTAATGAGGGAATTTTTTTTACAACCTTTAAAAGGGAAAGGAATCCTGGTGACTAACATCCCATGTGCTTCCTGGAGTTAAATGTCAAACCAGTGTGTAAACAGTCTGTTTTTTGTTTCCGGGGAGCATAGTTTCTGCTCACATTGAAATGATACAGCGTATGAGATAGTTAACTGACTGGCTGGCAGTGATCAGTGCAGCGTCTGTGAATGAACCTACTCACACACTCAGAAGGAAGCACAAATACTAAAACTCCTGTGACATTAGGAGTTAAAATGACATTAGTAAACAAGCACAGAATACTTGTCTCAGTTGCTCCTTCCTTGTGTATGTGATTGTGCTGTATGTGAGCATGTGTGTGTCAGAGGGGAAATTCCAGCCAGGGGGATATAAGGTGTGGCTGGGGATCATCTCTGACCACTTTAAAGCGGGGCCATCATCGGCGTTCCTGTATGACTCTCGGCCCAGCTGCGTTTCTGTCTGAGGGCTCATTATTCTGGCAGGTGCCCTATTGTCCCGTCTTTGCCGGCCTTTTCATGAGCATACCAAAAACACAACACCAAAATATGCAGGGAGGAAGGGAGGTGGTGGTGACCTGAGTCAAAGTGAAGAAGACTCAGAGAAACTGTGGTACCAAAAGAAGAGAATAAGCTTTGTTCAGAGAGAATGCATATCTGAAGAAGAATAGGAGCCATTTGGTGGTTGGAGCGGTGGGATGTGGTGATAGTGACCACTATAAACGAGAATCCGACATCTGAGACACTGAAGTGAGGACAATTGTTTTTTGTGAATACAAATATGAGGGGACAAACGGCAGTAGTTCATGTAGCAGGAGCGGCCCCCAGTTGGCCTTAATGTGTCCTCTTTTTGGGGCATTTATGATGAATTTCACCTTTTACTGTCAAGCAGATGTGGTTGGAGAAATGAGGATTTTGTCAGGGCACTAACATCCCCTGCTGTGTGTGAGACACTGTGCACGTCTTTGTATGACCTCATGGGAAAGTCCTTTTGGTCTGGAATAAGTACAACAAAGGAGCTGCTGACAGATGTTTCAATAATAGAAAAACAACTGCAGCCTTTGTGTTTTAATATGGAAACACTTGAGTGTTTGTGGGTCTTATATCTATCTAGCATCTTAAAGAAGCACACAGTGTATTTGAAATATAAAGATACACATTTTGGAACCATAGTCAAAGATCCAAGGTTGTAATATCTTGAGAAAGACGTCCCCATGTTAAGAAAATAAAGGAACTGTGAGGAAAAAAGAATATTATGAGAAAAAGGTGTATGAGGAAAAAACTTGTGAATAAATTTGTAACTTTGTGGAAAAAGA